CTTTTCGCGTTACCTGCCTTGACATAACCATATATTTTGTTTTGGCTTCATTAACTAATAAACCCATAATATAGCTATAAATAGTCTCTTTGCCTTTTCTTCAATTTCTTTCTGAGATGTTCCTAGAATGACGATGTCATCCGCATACGCCAAAAGTGCGTTTACCCCTATTATTTCCATCTCTTGTTCCTCCTGGATGTCTCTTATCACTTTTTCAAGCGCCAAATTAAAAAGTACTGGCGATAATGCGTCTCCTTGTCTCAAACCGGTTTTACATTCAACATTTTCAGATGTCTCTCCCATGAAACGTACTTTGCAGAAGGTCTGTTGGTTGCATATTTCAACTAGCTTCACGAATTTCTTAGGTATCCTAAAATTCCTTAGTGCAATCCACAGTTGTTCTCCGTCTATACTGTCGTACGCTTGCTTAAAGTCTACGAACAGAATATGCAGATCTTTATTGTACTCATACAATTTTTCCATTAGTTCCATTTTACTTTCAATATAGCCAGTTTATTAAGAATATTTTGCTGGTCGATGACCAGATTTGGATAATAACTTTTTAAGTTACTAAAGGTTAAATGGTATGATGGGAGGTGGAGTGCGGTAGAGTAAGCGCGTAGAACTATTTTTATTAGCATATAAGACTAATTAGTTAAAAAATGGCAATTTTTTAAATATGCCTTTTTATTTTTAAAGGACAAGGCCATGACGATTTCGGAGATTGTTATCTGATGTGTCGGTTGAAGGGTGTGCTCAGTAGTATATTATACCCAAATAAGTTTATTGTAGAAGCTAAAGTTGATGGTGATAAATGTCTTCTACAAGATATAAACAATGAAACATACGAAGCCAACTGCATTGGAGATGACTAATTAGAAAAGTATTATTAATACATTAAAAAGTATTCACCTGCTTCTAAGTTGTTATAATTTAGACCGTTTATCATAGACATTAATCCATTAAAAATTATACAGTACTATCGTTATTAATTATTATATTTAAATAATTGTTCCAAACCGCACTTTTATCCAAATTATCAAATTTATTGTATCTTATAATAAACCATTTTACTTATAATTATAAACTCATTTGTTGTTTATTACCAGTATACAGATTCGATTTGAAGTGGTTTTGGAAAAACTTTTATTTCTTTTAATCGTCCTATTTAACGGTTTATTATAATCCATTCAAGACTTATACCTGAACCACCGGTCATCATAGTTAACAGTTGCCTTTTATTCGTAATTATTTATTTTTAACAAATTTAGGTCATTCTGCACTCTATTGTGCATACTTTATTATTTAAAAATTGTATTTAAATTTCAATAAAATAAACACAAAAATCCGTTTTAAAATGTGTAACGTTTAAAAATGACTAACCTGAGCGGTTCTTTTGGAAAAGTAAATGACTCAAAGATCTGGATCCATTACAAGACTTTTACAATTTGAAATGCAACACTTTAGGATTTCTTTGTGTTCTGCGAATTTAGAAGGTATTATAATATTTTAGTGTAGACTCAATATTAGGTAATTATTTGACCGAATACAAATTGAAATAACACAATGTTACAAGAATCGAAAAACGTATGCTTCTTAGTAAAATTATTAAACAAGTTTAATGTATGAAAGTAAATTACATTCTGTACATGAAAAAAGAAATTGTATAAAATAATACTTAAATATTTGTAAATAAATAAAACTATTTCGATTCACTCGACTTTTACTTTTTTATTTTCGGTTAACATTTATCTGTACATTAAATTCTTCTTGGAAAAAAAGATGTTTAAGCAATTTGTAGAACTTTGTTTACTTTATCCCATTCAATTTAGAAAAAAAAAAATTATTCACGATAATGTTAAGAAGAAACGGCGCAATAAAAGGGCAAAACAAGTACATGAACGTAAACTGTAAAGAAGCATCAGAGTTAAACATTTTGACAATAACAACTGGCTGATGTGAAGAATTAGTGAAAAAAATATTCCATTAATGAATTAATTGAATAAATATTAAACACATTTAATGTCATTAGTTGTAAAGAATGTCTTGACAGCCGTCAAGATTAATTAAATTACTCATTTTTAATATAGGCACATAATATGATTTTTAAGTTGATTAATAAAACAAAAAATATTTGTGTTGAATAACACTGTCTCTCAGTTATCTCTATCACAAAAAAACCCAAACCAATTATTTTCAATTAATTTGTATAACTAATATAAACCTACTTCGTTCCTCTCTAATCAATGATTTAGGTGTACTATTTGATTGAAAGATACTATTCAACAACCACATACTATCAATCCAAAACAAAGCTCTATCCTTATTTGGTATGACTAAACATAAGTGCTTAGATGTCAACGATCCGTACACCTACAAATGCCTCTATACTTCTCTTGTCGGATCTTTACTGGAATATGCACCAATAATTTGGGATAACAATAGCATTGGGCATAATAACCCTGATGGCCTGATAAAGTACCTTTCAGGTATGATTTCTGATCTTAAGAGTTGCTACACGAATAAATCGGTTCAGCGGTTTACGAGATATCGTGGGTCCAGACTCAAAAATAAAAACACACATCATTGTAAAAACAATACCTTCTCAGCTTCGCACCGAAGCTAAAATGTCTTTGAATGGGATTAAATCAAATCAGACAATACTTAATAACGTCTCGCACTACCAAAATAGAATATAGACAAATATCTATGGATGCGTTGCTAAGTAATTAGTTGTTAGATAAACAGTTTTCTAACTATAGTCCATAATATAACAATTTATTTATTATTCATTATTATAAGTGTTCAGCACAGAAAATAAAAGAGCATGTGATGCTCATAAAAGTAGTAGTGAAGTGAGGTTGTGAACTAACGCAAAAGCAGGCTTGGCCACAATGTAGATATTACTGCTTTGTTAAGCTGACTTTTTTGGGAGAGGGTCCTTCTGGAGCTTGGCCCTTCTTCATTGTTAGGTTAACGGTGGAAAAGGTCTAACCTAAGTAATATTCATTTACTCTAAATTTCGTATAACTGCGTTCGTGTGTTATGCACGCAACAGTTGAACATTTAACCAGAGGCCCAAATTTAGGTTTCAACAAATTGATAATATACGTTAGGTTTTATTTTATAATCTGAATTTTATTCCTATGAAATACGCTAGTATATTACCTACAACAAACGATAAAGTTTGTAAAAAACACAAATCTAGTAAACATATTTTTTGGGTCATATTTACTTTAAATTCGTGTCGATACGAAAAAAAACATACGTGTATATTTACTGTTTCGGGTACAAGCCACCAAAAGATTACTTTAGAACAATTGTTTTAACATACAAGTTCACAAGAGTTCCACCAAAATTTTAAAGCTAGTAAGTAATTAATGCATTTTTATTAAGTTTTTCTTAATTTCTATTTTTTTTATTGTTGTGTTTAGATTTACAATCTATATTTTATTTATTTTATCCCCTTTGAATCGCAGGTGGCCCCGGAACATGCCTGGTGAGGCATTACTTCGGGACCACCTATATCGTTTATTGTATCTAACAATTTACTCACGCACTTTAAGAGGGTACTCCACACACCCTCTCAACATTTAATTACATACTTTTGCCTTACAAACTAACACATCCCCGGATGGATTGGGGTCCAATATAAATATTCACATTGGGCCCAGATGAGTTTATTTCAATGTTCCTCACAGCTAGTTTGTGTAATAACTATTACATTTACACTATTATACACTAAATACGAGTTGTATTTAAATATTTACAAACGCTTGGCGGTGCCTTCTCGGGCCCTGCCATCGGGAAACAGTCCCCTCGTGACTACCTTGAGTGTGGATACTTGTTTATAAAATATTTACATTTTATTTTGTAATTTGATTAGCGCTCTATAAATACCATTATTTTAAAAATTACTGTCAATTGGTATGAAATATTCTTTATATTTGATGCTATCAAATAATAACACTTGAACAATTTCATGTAAATTAACACTAAGCATAATTTTATTTTAACATTGATGCAAAGCTGAAAAGATATTTATTTTACAATGGTGTGTTTTTATTAATTTTTAAAAAAACAATTAAAGAAGTTCACCCCTTCTCCTTTAAAGTCAAGAATACACTTAAACCTTAAAAGTAAGGAGCTCTATAACTTTTTTAAAAATAATCAAACTAATTTCAAATTTGTATGGACTATTTTATTTTATTTTGACCATTTTATCTGAGAAGTATCTCTCAAGTGCAATTTCTTACCTATAAATTAGCTACATCAAGATATGGGTTTAGTGTTTTAGAAGTTATCATTTTAAAACGAAAACCTTCTCAGTTTGGCATCGGAGCCAATAATTAATAATTGAAGACTATGTCTAATACAAAAGGCTATTATGTTTATTATTTTTTGCAGATAAAAATGAAACATTTTTGTGTTTTAATATTACTCGTTGTTGTAAATGTCTTAGCAGATAAAAAAAGTAATTATTGTTTATTTTATTTTTTACACTACCTACTAGAAGTAATTAAAAATCTAATAATTAATTTTTTCGCAGTTGAATATAAAAGGGAGCTTGTCAACACAAGTTAGTCATCTTTTTTTTTTTGCAATCAAATTAACCTTTGATTTTAAATGTTTGCATATATTTATTTAAATTTATTTATTACAGATAATCAAATCAAGAGGGTGCTATATCCTGATGGTATATACACTAATTATTAGAACTTATTTGTTACCTCAACTCATTATTTTCTTATTCTAGTTAATTTGCTACTGGTAATTAGAAAAATTGTTGGTGGAACTACAACGATGGGTAATTATAATTTAACAGTATTTGAAAGTGTTAAGTAAGGTACATACCTCTAATATATTTATGTTATTCAAATTTAAGTGGAACTGTCGTATATGTTTGCTGCACCGGGTAATCATTTTCCTCAAATATATGAACGTGTCTGCACATAGTTGTTTGATAGTAAGTATAAAATGTTCTCATTAATGTTTCAGCAATGGCAATGGTAATCGATGAATGCGATGAAAACTACGAAGAAATACTGCAGCGTAATTACTCTTATACATTTTAAATTCAGAATCTTTACATAGACATGCATGCATAATTAATATATATTCAGATGTATTTCTATCTTAAGAAAGATTCACAAAAATGTTGTAAAAATTAATTATTATATATTTTTTTTTTTTTAGAATGCATAAATTCCCAGAAAGAATTGCAAAAAGAAATAACTGACTTGTTAGGTAAATATAAACATTTTGTAATATACAATTTCAAAAATGATAGTCATTTATTTCTAAGCAAAGTATATGAGTTATCAAATCTTACTGTTATAGATAAAACACAAAACTGGTTTTCATTTACTGTACATTTATTTAATATTTTTGTTACAGGTGTGACTGTTTCTGAAAAAGGTAATTACGCATTTAATCGTTAACCACATATAACCCTAACAAGTTTTTTTTTGTAACTAAATGATTGTGTATTATTTATTAATAAGTAAAGTACTATTCTCAATCTAAAATATGTTAGCCAAAAATGTGTCAATAGATTTATAGGTCGTCCATAACTTCATTCCAAAGCAAACTATAGATAAAATTGCTAATAATAGATGAATAGTTTGTTACATTTGAATTATTCATATCACATCATTAGCAATGTATTTTGAAAGTTTTTGCATGTTTTTTGAAAAATGTGTTCAAATCTTTTTGGCATAACTACCGTGTTAGCGTTTTGACAGTCAGTCAAGTCTTATATACACCGTTCAATAGCAGAAAGTAAATTTAAATAAAAAACAATAATTAGGTATTTACTTGCTGCTATCCGTTTGCTTGTTACAGTTTAAGAAGGTGTCGACCTATTATTATTAAATCACCACGATTATTAAGTTACACAATTTATTTTTATTTATACTAATTTTCTTATTTGAAACTCTTTTATAGCTTAACTCATTATTTGTTTATGCTAGGTCTACTACGTGCTGCAGTGAGATGTTTGCCTTGTACATGTGATTCGATTGGTAGTTATCATAATAATTATATGAAACATAAATACAAAGCTTAAAAATACCGTAAAAAAAAATTGAAGCGTTGAATTATCTCTATGCAAAATTATCAGTGATATATCTTTGCTTAGTGACAATGCTGAATATTATGCTTGCGTTATATTTTTTTAATTGTAAAAAGAAAATGAAATTGTTCAATGGCATATGTGAAACAAATTGTAATATTATTTAAAAATATATACAAGGCATATATGTTTTTAATTAATACATAAGTATAGGAAAATTACTTACAACTAGTTTATTTTAAGAACTGTTGAACAAATCTTAATTGTACTACATTAATAACATGAGCAATTATATAATATTGTTGTAAAATATTTTTGTAACCAACACGGTTTTTTATTAAATTTTACAGACTCGTATGGGTTTGTAGAACTTCAACAAGAGAGAACAAAGCTAACTCGTGATGTTATACAACTATCTATCAATCTTGCATCAAGTAAGTATTATATCAAATTGCAATAGTTTAATTTATGTTATACGTATACAGGGTGTTCCACAATGATTCGACGACAAATAAAATAACTTTTGTACTAGTGAATATATTTAAGAATTTTTTATTTTATTAATTTATACTCATTAGCGCTATAAGCACCACGTTTTTTATTGCACATAACTATTTTACTTTCAATAAAGCCAGTTTATTAAGAATATTTTGCTGGTCGATAACCAGATTTGGATAATAATTTTTTAAGTTACTAAAGGTTAAATGGTATGATGGGAGGTGGAGTGCGGTAGAGTAAGCGCGTAGAACTTTTTTTATCAGCATATAAGACTAATAAGTTAAAAATTGGCAAATTTTTAAATATACCTTTTTTATTTTTAAAGGACAAGGCCATGTCGATTTCGGAGATTGTTGTATGATGTGTCGGTTGAAGGGTGTGCTCAGTAGTATATTATACCCAAATAAGTTTATTGTAGAAGCTAAAGTTGATGGTGATAAATGTCATCTAAAAGATATTAATGATAAAACATACGAAGCCAACTGCATTGGAGATGACTAATTAGAAAAGCATTATTTATATATTAAAAAGTATTCACCTGCTTCTAAGTTGTTATAATTTAGACCATTTATCATAGACATTAATCCATTTAAAATTATACAGTACTATCGTTATTAATTATTGTATTTAAATAATTGTTCCAAACCGTACTTGTATCCAAATTATCAAATTTATTGTATCTTATAATAAACCGTTTTACTTATAATTATAAACTCATTTTTTGATTTTTACCAGTATACAGATTCGATATGAAGTGGTTTTGGAAAAAGTTTTATTTCTTTTAATCGTCCTATTTATTGGTTTATTATAATCCATTCAAGCCTTATGCCTGTACCACCAGTCTTCATCGTTTACAGTGGCCTTTTATTCAAAATTATTTATTTATAACAAATTAAGGTCATTTTGTACTCTATTGTGTATAGATACTTACATTTTTTTTTTTTTGAAAAAACAAAAACTAATTACAACTAGAATTGTATTAACATTTAAATAAAATAAATACAAAAATCGGTTTTGAAATGTGTAACGATAAAAATGACTAACCTGAGCGGAGCTTTTGGAAAATTAGAATGACTCAAAGATCTGGATCCATTACAAGACTTTTACAATTTAAAATGCAATACTTCGCTAATTATTTTTCTGTTCTGCGATTTTGGAAGGTATTATAATATTTTAGTGTAGACTCAAGACTAGTTTATTATTTGACCGAACAAACACAAATTGAAGTAACACGGTATTACAAGAATCGAAAAACGTATGCTTCTTTGTGAAATTATTAAACAAGTTTAATGTATAAAAGTAAATTCCATTCTGTACTTGAAAAAAAATTGTATAGTAAATTTATAAAATAATACTTAAATATTTGTAAATAAATAAAACTATTTCGATTCACTCGACTTTAACATTTTTTTTATTTTCGGTTAACATTTATCGGTACATTAAATTCTTCTCGGAAAATAAGATGTTTAAGCAGTTATCTCTATCACAAAAAAACGCAAACCAATTATTTCAATTAATTAGTATAACTAATATGAATCTACTTCGTTCCTCTCTAATCAATGATTTAGGTGTACTATTTGATTGAAAGATACTATTCAACAACCACATACTAGCAATCCAAAACAAAGCTCTATCCTTATTTGGTATGACTAAACATAAGTGCTCAGATGTCAACGATCCGTACACCTACAAATGCCTCTATACTTCTCTTGTCCGATCTTTACTGGAATATGCACCGATAATTTGGGATAACAATAGCATTGGTCATAATAACCAACTTGAAAAAATGTAAGTAGATAAAGTCCTTCACTTCATTTGCTACAAATGTAATATAGCTAAACCTCCCCACACTGGTTATGAAAACATCTTTAGAATCTTAAACATGGATTCTCTACAAACGACTGCCTGGTGTCTAACTTAATGCAATCGGTGTACCAATAAGAATCGGCGTGCTACTTGAATCACACACAACTACATGGCGTTACCTAATCTCATATTAATATCGTTCTTTAAAATACAATGTAAAATTAAATATATAAAGGTGTATGGTTTTTTATTGTTAGCATTCTTTGAAACCGGTACTAGTACTCACGACTATTTTAATTTTTTGTAAGGTCTTATGTTGTGAGTTTCGTATAGAGGTTACAAATAATTGGTAATACGTTAGGTTTTACTATATGCTCTGAATTTTATTCGTATGAAATACGCTAGTATATTACAACAAACGATAAAGTTTGTAAAAAACACAAATCTAGTAAACATATTTTTTGGGATCTTATTTACTTTAAATTCGTGTCGATACGAAAAAAACATACGTGTATATTTACTGTTTCGGGTACTAGCCACCAAAAGATTACTTTAGAACAATTGTTTTAACATACAAGTTCACAAGAGTTCCACCAAAATTTTAAAGCTAGTAAGTAATTAATGCATTTTTATTAAGTTTTTCTTAATTTCCTAGTTTTTTTTATTGTTGTGTTTAGATTTACAATCTATATTTTATTTATTTTATCCCCTTTGAATCGCAGGTGGCCCCGGAACATGCCTGGTGAGGCATTACTTCGGGACCACCTATATCGTTTATTGTATCTAACAAATTACTCACGCACTTTAAGAGGGTACTCCACACACCCTCTCAACATTTAATTACATACTTTTGCCTTACAAACTAACACATCCCGGATGGATGGGGGTCCAATATCAATATTCACATTAAGCCCAGATGAGTTTATTTCAATGTTCCTCACAGCTAGTTTGTGTAATAACTATTACATTTACACTATTATACACTAAATACGAGTTGTATTTAAATATTTACAAGCGCTTTGCGGTGCCTTCTCGGGCCCTGCCATCGGGGAAAAGTCCCCTCGTGACTACCTTAAGTGTGGATACTTGTTTATAAAATATTTACATTTTATTTTGTAATTTGATTAGCGCTCTATAAATACCATTATTTTAAAAATTACTGTCAATTGGTATGAAATATTCTTTATATTTGATGCTATCAAATAAAAACACTTAAACAATTTCATGTAAATTAACACTAAGCATAATTTTATTTTAACATTGATGCAAAGCTGAAAAGATATTTATTTTACAATAGTGTTTTTATTAATTTTTAAAAAAACAATTAAAGAAGTTCACCCCTTCTCCTTTAAAGTCAAGAATACACTTAAACCTTAAAAGTAAGGAGCTCTATAACTTTTTTAAAAATAATCAAACTAATTTCAAATTTGTATGGACTATTTTATTTTATTTTGACCATTTTATCTGAGAAGTATCTCTCAAGTGCAATTTCTTACCTATAAATTAGCTACATCAAGATATGGGTTTAGTGATTTAGAAGTTATCATTTTAAAACGAAAACCTTCTAAGTTTCGCATCGGAGCCAATAATTAATAATTGAAGACTATGTCTAATACAAAAGGCTATTATGTTTATTATTTTTTGCAGATAAAAATGAAACATTTTTGTGTTTTAATATTACTCGTTGTTGTAAATGTCTTAGCAGATAAAAAAAGTAATTATTGTTTATTTTATTTTTTACACTACCTACTAGAGGTAATTAAAAATCTAATAATTAATTCTTTCGCAGTTGAATATAAAACAGAGCTTGTCTACACAAGTAAGACATCTTTTTTTTTTTTGCAATCAAATTAACCTTTGATTTTAAATGTTTGCATATATTTATTTTATTTATTTATTACAGATAGACAACTCGCGCGGGTGCGATGTCGTGAAGGTATAATATACACTCATTATTAGAATTTATTTGTTACCTCGACCCATTATTTGTTTATTCTAGTGCGTTTGCTAAAGGTAATTAGAAAAATTGTTGGTGGAACTACACCGATGGGTAATTATAATTATTACAGTATTCGAAAGTGTTAGGTTAGGTACATATCTCTAATATATTTATGTTATTCAAATTTAAGTGAAACTGTCGTATATGTTTGCTGCACCGGGTAATCATTTTCCTCAAATATATGAACGTGTCTGCACATAGTTGTTTGGTATTAAGTATGAAATGTTCTCGTTAATGTTCAGCAATGGCAATGGAAATCGATAAAGCAATGAAAACTATGAAGAAATACTGCAGCGTAATATGTCTTATACATTTTAAATTCAGAATCTTTACATAGAAATGCATGCATAAATTATATAAATTCAGATGTATTTCTATCATAAGAAAAGATGTACAAAAACGTTGTAAAAATTAATAAATATTTTTTTTTTTTAATTTTAGAATGCATAGATTCCCAGAAAGAGTTGCAAAAAGAAATAACCACCTTGTTAGGTAAATATAATAATTTGTCAATGCACAATATCAAAAAATGATAATCGTTTATTTCTAAGCAAAATAGCTGAAAATTTGATTTGAGTTCTTAAATCTTAAAGCTATATGTTTTTTTACTAGAAGTTTGATGATTGTTCGAAGTATAATCATTATTCAAATGCCTAGTCTAAATAAATTTTTAGAAACTGTTATAGATAAAACATAAAACTGGTTTTCATTTACTGTACAATTATTTAATATTTTTGTTACAGGCGTCTCTGTTTCTGAAAAAAGTAATTACGCATTATTATATTTATTCGTTAACCTAAGTTGTTTTATTGTAACTAAAGGATTGTGCGTTATTTGTTATGAGTAAAATACTATTCTTAATCTGAAATATGTTAGCCAAATATGTGTTAATAGATTTATAGGTCCTCCATAACTTCATTCCTAAGCAAAATATATAGATCAAATTGCTAATAATAGATGAATAGTTTGTTATGTTTTAGTTATTCATATCATATTTCATTACCAATATAAAATTTTAAAAGTTTTTCTTGTTTTCTGAAAACTTTATTTAAATATTTTTGGCATTACTAGCGTGTTAGCGTTTTGAGTTTTGACCGTCAGACAAGTCTTATATACACTATCCAATAGCAGAAAGTATATTTTAACAAAAAAAATCATTAGGTATTTACTTGCTGCTATCCGTTTGCTTGTTACATTTTAAGATGGTGTCGACCTATTATTATTAAATAACCTCGGTTGTTAAGTTGCATATTTTATTTATATTTATGCTAATTTTCTTATTTGAAACTCTTTTATAGCTTAACTCATTATTTGTTTATGCTAGGTCTACTACGTGATGCAGTGAGATGTTTGCCTTGTACATGTGATTCGATTGGTAGTTATTATAATTATATAAAAATAATGCTTTTAAAAATCGTAAAAAAAATAAAGCGTTGAATTATATCTATGCAAAATTATCATTGATATATCTTTGCTTAGCGACAATGCGGAATATTATGATTACGTTATGTTACGTTTAATTGTAAAAAGTAAAAGAAACTGTTCAATGGCATACGTGAAACAAACTGTAATGTAATTAAAAAACCTAATACTTGGGACCTAAAAGTAGTGAATAATTACAAGACTTATACTTGTTTAATTAATACATAAGTATAGGAAAATTATTTACAACTAGTTCATTATAAGAACAGTTGAACAACAACTTAATTGTACTACATTAATAACATGAGAAATTATATAATATTTTTGTAAAATATTTTTGTAACTAACACGGTTTTTTATTTAATTATACAGAAACATTTGACTCGACTGGCTTTTTAGAACTTGAACAAGAGAGAATAAGCCTAACTCCTGAAGCTGTAAAACTATTCATCACTCTTGCATCAAGTTAGTATTATATTAAATTATAGTTTTACACTCAAACAAAAAGTAACATTTTATCGAAAATGTTATATTAAAAGTATTTTTTTTTTATGCTTTAATAATATTTCTAGTTTATATAAATGAATATATGAAATTATTATTTACATTTTCATATATTATAGAAATATAGTTATGACAAAATTGTTAAAATTAATGTTTCTTAAGATAAAAAGTCATGTTGTCCAATTTGTTTTGTTATTAACTTTTTGTTACTCGAAAAAACAAATAGGTGATTTTTTTCATATCAAATTGGTTTTTTAAAAAAAATGTTGATGGTTACCTTTAACATAGTTTTTAAAAAACGATAAAAACGAAGAGTAAAGAAAAATATTTATTATAACCTATTCAAATAAAAAGTAACTTTTTAGTGATGTAATTTTGTAGAAAAGGTATAAATTAAGCATTTTCTTTAATAAAAATATAAATTTAACTTTTTTGATATTTTAATAATTCGTCTAGTTAAATAATTAAAACTTTGGTTTGCTTTTTAAAGGTGTATTTTATACAATTTGTATGACTAATAGGTTATGATATACGAGGTGTCCAGTCTATTTCATCCCTAATGTTATTTTCTTAGAGTAACAAAGCTGTACCATACGGATCATTTGTATATAGCAGTAATCACGTTTATTAATTATGCCTTACACACTGAATAAAATATGTAGTAACTATTAAGTTGAGATTGGCAAATTTTTAAATATACCTTTTTTATTTTTCAAGGTAAATGCTATGCTGACTTCGGAAATTGTTACCTAATGTGCCGGTTTAAAGGTATATACAGAAGTATTTTACACCCAAATGAGTTTATAAAAAAAGCTAAAGTTGATGGTGAAGAGTGTCATCTAACTGATTTAAACGAAAACGTACACGTAGTCAGTTGCATTGGGGATGACCTATCAGAAACAGATCATTAATATAATAAAAAGTATTCACTTGCTTCTCAGTTTTTTATAATTTAGACCATTTATCTTAGACATTAATCCATTAAAAATTATACAGTACTATCGTTATTATATTTAAATAATTGTTCCGAACCGAACTTGTATCCAAATTATCAAATTTATTGTATCTTATAATAAACCGTTTTAGTTATGATTATAAACTCATTTGTTGTTTTTTACCTGTATACAAATTCGATTTGAAGTGGTTTTGGAAAAAGTTTTATTTCTTTTAATCATCCTATTTATTGGATGCTTATTAAAATCCATTCAAACCTTATGCCTGAACTATCAGTCTCCATAGTGTACAGTTGCCTTTTATTCAAAATTATTTATTTATAGCAAATTTAGTTGATTCTGTTCTCTATTGTGCATTCTTTGGAGTCATCAAACACACATTTTTTTTTAAACAAAAACTAATTATAACTTGATTATTATTTAAAAATTGTATAAAAATTTAAATAAAATAAATACAAAAATCCGTTTTGAAATGTGTAACTTAAAAATGACTGACCTGAGCGGATCTTTTGGAAAAGTAAAATGACTCACAAGATCTGGATGCATTTCAAGACTTAAACAATTTGAAATGCATTACTTTAGGATTTCTTTGTGTTCTGCGATTTTGGAAGGTATTATAATATTTTAGTGTAGACTCAAGACTAGTTTATTATTTGACCGAACAAACACAAATTGAAGTAACACGGTATTACAAGAATCGAAAAACGTCTGCTTTGTAGTGAATATATTAAACAAGTTTAATGTCTTCTTATTGTTATTATTTATCTTTGCCTTACACTCCCAACTACATGGGGTCGGCCACCCTAGTCCTACACCTCCATAGAGCTCGGTATCTTAAATCTCGTTCAATAACCCCCGCTACCATCATTTCACTCTGTTTTCCGTCCACCCATTTTTTCTTTGGTCTTCCTTTTTCACTTTTTCCCTCTACATTTATCTTCATAACACCTCTCACTGCCTCTGCCTCATCTCTTTTTATAACATGACCGAACCGTCTCAACATATTCTCTCTCGTTTTCTCCACAATTGATGCAACTCCTAGACTGCCCCTTATGGATTCTTTTCTTATTCTATCTTCCCAGTCACTGCACTCATCCATCTTAACATTCTCGTCTCCGCTACGCTCATTCTCTGTTCCGCTTTCTTATCTACTGCCCAACATTCTGACCCATATAACATTGCTGGCCTCACTACCGAAAATTTACCTTTCAATGTTATAGGCATCTTTCTTTCACACAAAAACCCGACGCTCCCCTCCATTTTATCCATCCACAGTTAATCCTATTTTTCACATCCTCCTCGTACCCACCATTTTTCTGTACCACCGATCCTCAGTACTTAAACCTATCAACCTCACACACTTCTTCATCACTCATCCGCATTACCTGTCTTACCCTATAACCTTCTCCAAAATTAAACACGATTGACTCCGTTTTAATCCTACTAATCCCCAGTCCTTTCATTCAAGCGCTTCTCTCCACTCTTCAAGTCTCTCACCCAATTCTTCCCAATTTTTTCCCCACTAACACCACGTCATCCGCAAACATCATACACCATGGCACATCCCTTGTATATCTTTCGTCATCTCGTCCATTATAAAAGAGAACAAGTAAGGACTCAACGCTGAACCTTGATGCACACCAACTCTTTACTCTTGTACTTGCTCCTTCATACATTTCCTCTATTACTTTCACATACACCCTCGGAACTCCTTTCTCCCATTAATTAACAAGTTTAATGTATGAAAGTAAATTCTATTCTGTACTAGAAAAAAAATGTGTATTATAATATTATAATATAATATCTAAATACTTGTAAATAAATAAAACTATTTCGATTCACTTGACTTTTACATTTTTTTTTATTTTTGGTTATTATCATTATGTGTACATTACAACGGCGCAATAAAAGGGCAAAACAAGTACATGTATGTAAACTGTAAAGAAACATCAAAGTTAAACATTTTGACATTAACAACTGGCTGATGTGGCGAATTAGTGAAAAAAATATTCCATTAGTGATTTGATTGAATAAATATTAAACATTATTAGCATTTTAATGCTATTAGTTATAAAGAATGATCTTGACAGCAGTCAAGACTAATTAAATTACTCATTTTTAATATAGACACATAATATAATTTTTAAAGTGATTAATAAAACTAAAAATATT